ATGGAGGATGTAACGGACCATACCAAATGGAACTATTCATTTGTGGGAAATGAACTTTAGATTTTATTGGTTAACTTTGCGTCAAATGTTATTGCATGTGGTTATAAGAAAATGTTAAATATTGTGTATTGAATATTAAATACGTGACTTATGAGAAGTATATCTTTATTCAGCCTGTCGGTCTTATAGTTATTAGTTATTGATATTTAACTATACAGTTATTGGTATAGGAACAGTGTACTTAACTTTTATAAAGATGATGACGTGAAACTGATGATATGCATTAAGGAAGATTCTTACTTAATTATTTTTCGGTATGTTTTTTTTTTGTTCAATCGTGGATTGGGTTTGATATAAAACGATTGTTTCTCTTATACTGTAGTTATTAAAAGAGAGCGCAACAGTGTGGACAAATATGAAGATGAACAGGTACTTCATCATGACGATGCGCTTGGCAACGCTGTGGTGAATGCTATTCATCGGACAGGGAGTAGCTAACCCTATTGTCTCACGTAGTACATACTTTATCTGAAATAACAAGAGAGAAGAGAGAAACCGTATATGAAAATGTGTCAGAGCCATAATAAGAGAGTAACAGATTTAAACATCCGCGCGGAGAAAATAAACAAAAAGTATCTGTACTCGTGGGCCGCACATTACAACATGTAAATAGCACATCCACGAACATTTGTATTTTCATAAAAATTTATAAATCTATCTTCCTTTAAGTTATATTTGGGGTTTCATGTCAATTTTATTTCTATCTTATAGTAGGTTTATAATACAAAATCTATGTACTTAGTTTTGTTTTGCATGAATTTATGATAAAAGACAAATGCAGTGTTTAAGAAAGTTTATTTTTAATTAATGTATATTTTAATTTTAAATATGCCTGTGGACAGGCATATCGTCCCCGGGAGATAATGTAACGTTAGTTAGTGACAGCATGCAGCGAATAAGAGCGGGGAGTGTTTTGTAGTTTCACTTTAGTTGATTGACACGACCTTATTGTACTTAAGCGAAGAATGTAATGTAGACGGGGAGAACGATGTAAGAGGTTGAACGGAGAGGAATAAACTGTAGATAGCGTAGTTAGAAAGCGATAATAAAGAATATGGGAACACATGGAATTGTTTAGTTATTACCTCGCGCCACCAAGACAAAGTCAGTAACGTCGTCACAATTGTAACCTCTATGTGGTATCGCTATTCGCAAAACGCGATGCTTTCGTGATACGGGGCCCAGTTTTGTATCCAAGCTCACAGCTGTTGATTAGGCTGGTCTTCACATTCTGTACTTTATTAAATTTTGATCTGGTTCGTTTCTTCTATGATGTTTTAGCTAGCAAAAACCGCCGTACAACTTCAAGCATTGGATTTGGCTACTCCCCCCTTATTGATTCATGTGCCGTTGCTTGTATCTGTAATAAAAATTACAAGCGTAAATATTTGATATCTATGTACAGTAACAATATAATAATAATAATAATGATAATAATAATAATAATAAATGAAAACTATAGAAAAAACTGTCTTACGTTCTGTCCTAAACTTAAAGTTACCATTTAAAAAGGACACGTACGCGACGCAAGACAAAGACGGAATGTCGAGCAGAAGTTCATAAAAATATTAGACACTTAAGAAAAAGTACTGAATAGAGACAACGAATATTATTCTTGTTTTACTGTAACATAATCTTCAACTGCGCGTCCCTTTTACATTAGCATACGTCACGTATCCCAGTAGTTTACTTGTTTATTCATGTTTTGGTACCTGAAGAAGGCTCACAAGGCGAATGCTCGGGCATTTTTCATCTTTAATTGTTAACCTGTATAGATGTTTTTTTAATATATTTTTTCCGTGAAGATATGAAAGACGAAAGAAAAACATGCTGTTTAATTTAATGGTCATAATAGTTGATTATCATAAAAGAGGTCTGTTATCTGGTCCGCGGATCAACTGATTGTGAATTCGGCCAGAGACAGCCGGAGAGAGAAAGAGAGAGAGAGAGAATGAGAGGGGGGATAGCCGGAGAGAGAGAGAGAGAGAGAGAGAGCAATAGCCAGAGAGAGAGAAAGAAAGTGCACTCTTACGGAGTCGCAGATGGAGTTTTCACTAGATATTCACAGATATGTATAAAATGTAAAAAATGTCTTAAATAATTTTTAAAGAAAGATTGCTGTTTATGATTTGAACGCAAAGGACGATCGCGTTTGTTACGTTATGTAATTTAAGCAATATTGACGACAGCTGTCATCTGAGTCCTCAAGGGGGTCGAACTCCCAACACGGAGGTATACTTTGTGTAGATTAGTGATAATATATCATTTTGTCTCTCTCCCTCTTTCTTAGCGAGTCTTTCGATGCACACGGAAATTGTTACATAAGTTAGCCCAGCACCTGTGATAATCATATTTAAAACACGAAATGCGGACTCAATTTTAAACCTTCGTTACTGTCGCTCGCAACACCATCTCAAATTCGCCCATAAGATTATTTTCAATAAAGTAAAAAATTAAGAACTTGTTAGGTAGTATAATGTCTAACGTCTCAGAAAATGTTTAGAATGTTTAAATGTTTAAAAAATGCGATTAATAACTTGCAGCTACTTTTGCGGTGTCGCCCGGCTTATAAAAGCTGCGAAATCCTCCACGGCTTATTTTGCTGCAGATCATTTTAATTAAAATTTTAATTGTTTGATGCTTTGAAATATTTAAGTCATTAATAAAAACTTCATATTAGTTAAGACAATGACTGAAGGCCCCATTGGGTATTTTCCTTTCCCGTGAAAGCCACTTATCATTTCCCAAGATGCTCGCAACTTTCTATGTTATTAATAAGAGTCATCCGTGAAGCGCCCCATTCCCGTGAATCGAGAATTGCGCGTTTTTATCCCTCGTCCTGAGTGAAACGAAGTCATTATACTCGGTGATAGTTATTTTCAGCTTGCCGGACTCGCATTTTCAATGAGATATAGACAAAGTTTTAATTTAATTTATGTACGTAATTTGTGATTTGATGATTTTTATTTTCCGCGGCCGTGAACTGTGATCACTAGACTGTACCCCCCCTTCCCAGCGGGCCCTCATGATTAGCTAGACGATATATGTTGACAGGGCACAGTCAAATGGTTTACACGAAACACGTCAAAGCTGCATTTCTCTTGTGAAGCCATTTTGAAAGCCTTCGTTACCAGGCATTGTGAAACTATACTTGGAATTGAGGAAAAAATGTAGACCTTTTGAAAAAAATAAACGCGCATAGGCTTATGTCATATTAGCCTACCAGAGAAGTCTATAAAAGTAAATTACAGGTATTGGCCTACTAGTAGCTTTGCAGGAAATATAGGCAAAAATGACTTAAGAGTATTTTCAAGTACGTTTAGTATATTTTTAAAGGTAATTACTAAATCTGAATGTTCATTTGCTTATAACTTAAAATTGAGCGTTGTGTTAGCAGTGCAAAGAGTCGAAGCAAAAAGAAAATATATAATAATAACAACAAAAAAGACAGAATTTGAAATAACCTTTTAGGTAATTATTATATTATCAATAAATTATAAAAAAATATCATATCCAAACGAAAAAATTAAAAGATATAATAACTTGGAACAACGGCACACTTGACCGGATGTACCGCGATGTGACCCAGTATCCACTGCGGGTTTTCTTTGACCTACTTTATAGTAGGGCTTAGTACGGCGGAGCGGGAACATTTTATACGTTATGAAATAACGTTATACCTAGGACAAGATATATTTACGAGTTACCATAAAGGTTTTATCTGGAGCAGTAGGACATTCCACAATTCCAGCATCCTTTTTAATACATGCAAAGACATTCTTGATGACAGAAGGGTGAGTACTTTGTTGTAGTGATCTGGCACCGGAAGTCTTGGGATTGAAAGCGACAGTTGGGCGGGGTTTTCAAGAGAGAGAGAGAGAGAGAGAGAGAGAGGTAGGAAGGAGCTGCAGAGACACGAGGTAGAAGGTAGACAAAGGGATCTGGTGATCCTAGTGTTATAAGTGTTATACAGTAGATCTGGATTCCTGGAAACATCTGAGGTAAAACCTAATAAGTACTAGCAGAATTAATTAAGTAGCAATAGGTTTTCTACGATGTACTTGTCTTAGAGCTACTATAAAAGTTGTTTGTGGGGATTTTTGCAGTGTTCACTTCATCCTCCTTATCTTTATAACTCTCTATTAATCATAGTCCTCCAACTGGGGTGCAGTAATGGCTTAAATTTGCATATGTTAGGAACTCATACATCACGTAGTCATGTATAGCAACACAGTATTGCAATTGGGCTTTACCATCCTCGAATATAGTGTTGTGTCTCATGTTGAGACATGCTGGACAGCTAAAGATGTAAAATTACAACAAATGTCCTTCAAAATTTCATTTAGAATGCCAAGCTTAATTGGTAAGAATGCATGTTTCTGTTTTTCATTTATTGGTTACTCAACAAACAACCCAAATGAGCCCTTTTTTTCAGTACATGTAGTTAAGTGATGTAAGACATCCATGTGTGTACACACAGCCGGTCATGACCAGTTTTGAGGTGCCCGTTTTGCACAGCACATACTTTCAGTGACTATCCCAGCATTTTTTCAATGACACTGATGTATGTCATTGGTTATTTTAAGTTTGATTTTTTTTACATGAAGTCATGGCAAACCATCAGATGCATATTAGCAATTTTTTAAAAGTACAAATAACTGTGAATATGAGGAAGCTGCCAAGTTTGACTTTGCCCAGGACCACTGCCAATTAAGAAATGATGGGAATGCGAACAAACCACCCTTTTTGCCGGGGAAAAGGTTCCCTCTGGGGAAATTTTTATTTAGGTACACAATGGTTTTATGGTAAAAGCTCCACTTTTTTTTAGGAAAAAATTTTTTTTGAAATTGCTGGCTCCAGGTCTGTTGAATGTTTATAATGAATGTTTCTCTATTTTTTCAGCTCACACAAACAGTTTGACAGTTGGTGTACAGTAACATGTGTCTCTGTAGTGGCCTGCTTGATGTGGTCAGTTTGGGATGATGTTATATCCAATACATGGCTGTCGATTGGTCGCGTCTTGACCCAGGCCACTACCTGGTGGATGAAATGGTAATGGGGACAAGTATGAAAGAAGCACATGGCGAGTGAGACCCACGGCACCCTGTCATAACATTGGCGACGAGGATAAGCAAGAAATACTAACATGGCACAGGGAGAACTGCACAGGGTTTAACAAAGCACAAGTATGTCGTAGTTTTCTNGTCCAGTGTAAAGGGGGTTTAATCAGTTAATTGGTAGCGACACACCTGACTACACACTTCTCCATTCACATATCTTATATGAGATCGGAGTTTGTGAAAAAAAAACGCATTTTAACCTAGGCATACATTCGTAATTGAAATATTCCATATTAAATGTCAAGTCTGTATATCATTTCGTCTCTCTCCCTCTTTCTTAGTGAGTCTTTCGATGCACACGAAAATTGTTGCATAAGTTAGCTCAGCACCTGTGATAATCATATTTGAAACACGAAATGCGGACTCAATTTTAAACCTTCGTTACTGTTGCTCGCAACACCATCTCAAATTCGCCCATAAGATTATTTTCAATAAAGTAAAGAATTAAGAACTTGTTAGTAAGTAGCCTATAATGTCTAGCGTCTCAGAAAATGTTTAGAATGTTTAAATGTTTAAAAAATGCGATTAATAACTTGCAGCTACTTTTGCGGTGTCGCCCGGCTTATAAAAGCTGCGAAATCCTCCACGGCTTATTTTGCTGCAGATCATTTTAATTAAAATTTAAATTGTTTGATGCTTTTGAAATATTTAAGTCATTAATAAAAACTTCATTTTAGTTAAGACAATGACTTAAGGCCCCATCGGGTATTTTCCTTTCCCGTGAAAGCCACTTATCATTTCCCAAGATGCTCGCAACTTTCTATGTTATTAATAAGAGTCATCCGTGAAGCGCCCCATTCCCGTGAATCGAGAATTGCGCGTTTTTATCCCTCGTCCTGAGTGAAACGAAGTCATTATACTCGGTGATAGATATTTTCAGCTTGCTGGACTCGCATTTTCAATGAGATATAAATAAAGTTTTAATTTAATTTATGTAATTTGTGATTTGATGATTTTTATTTTCCGCAGCTGTGAACTGTGATCACTACCCCCCCCCCCCCACCCCCCTCTTCCTAGCGGGCCCTCATGATTAGCTAGACGATATGTTGACAGGGCAAGTCAAATGGTTTAGGCCTACTCGAAACATGACAAAGCTTCATTTCTCTTGTGAAGCCATTTGCAAAGCCTGCGTTATCAGGCATTGTGAAACTATACTTGGAATTGAGGAAAAAATGTAGACCTTTTGAAAAAATAAACGCGCATAGGCTTATGTCATATTAGCCTACCAGAGAAGTCTATAAAAGTAAATTACAGGTATTGGCCTACTAGTAGCTTTGCAGGAAATATAGGCAAAAATGACTTAAGAGTATTTTCAAGTACGTTTAGTATATTTTTAAAGGTAATTACTAAATCTGAATGTTCATTTGCCTTTAACTTAAAATTGAGCGTTGTCTTAGCAGTGCAAAGAGTCAAAGCAAAAAGAAAATATATAATAATAACAACAAAAAAGACAGAATTTGAAATTACCTTTTAGGTCATTATTATATTATCAATCAATTATAAAAAAATATCATATCCAAACGAAAAAATTAAAAGATATAATAACTTGGAACAACGGCGCACTTCATGTGACCGGATGTACCGAGATGTGACCCAGTATTCACTGCGGGTTTTCTTTGACCTACTTAGTCGGGCCTATTAGTACGGCGGAGCGGGAACATGTTACTCGTTATGAAATAACGTTATACCTAGGACAAGATATATTTACGAGTTACCATACACGTTTTATCTGAAGCAGTAGGACATTCCACAATTCCAGCATCCTTTTTAATACACGCAAAGACATTCTTGATGACAGAAGGGTACACTTTGTTGTAGTGATCTGGTACCGGAAGTATTGGGATTGAAAGCGACAGTTGGGCGGGGTTTTCAAATGAGAGAGAGAGAGAGAGAGAGAGAGAGAGAGAGGTAGGAAGGAGCTGCAGAGACAAGAGGTAGAGGGTAGACAAAGGGATCTGGTGATCCTAGTGTTATAAGTGTTATTCAGTAGATCTGGATTCCTGGAAATATCTGAGGTAAAACCTAATCAGTACTAGCAGAATTAATTAAGTAGCAATAGGTTTTCTATGATGTACTTGTCTTAGAGCTACTATAGTATAAAAGTTGTTTGTGTGGATTTTTGCAGTGTTCACTTCATCCTCCGTATCTTTATAACTCTCTATTAACCATAGTCCTCCAACTGGGGTGCAGTAAGGGATTTGCATATGTTAGGAACTTGTACATCACGTACCCTGTAGTCATGTATAGCAACACAGTATTGCAATTGGGCTTTACCATCCTTGAATATAGTGTTGTGTCTCATGTTGAGATATGCTGGACTGCTAAAGATGTAAAATTACAACAAATGTCCTTCAAAATTTCGTTTAGAATGCCAAGCTAAATTGGTAAGAAAGAATGTTTCTGTTTTTCATTTATTGGTTACTCAACATACAACCCAGATGAGCCCTTTTTTTCAGTACATGTATATAGGTGATCTAAGACATCCATGTGTGTACACACAGCCGGTCATGACCAGTTTTGAGGTGCCCGTTTTGCACAACACATACTTTCAGTGACTATCCCAGCATTTTTTCAATGACACTGATGTCATTGGTTATTAGTACCACCAGCGTGTACGCTGGCGGTACTCATGGTTTTAGTCCCGACCCGTCTCTTACAGCTCCGCTGGCTCCTGCGGCTCCGCCAGCTCATGCGGCTCCTGCGGCTCCGCACGATGGCGTGGGATACAAGTCACCGTTACCGCTTCTCCTCCTAGACCGCAAGGACCTGTGTCCCCATCTCTTGGATTTTGGTCACATGTAATCTCAACTTGAACCCCCTGGTTTTTTTGTCTCAGTCGGTGCATTGGTCTGGGCGTGGCACTCGTTATAATGCACCCTTGTCAGAATTTTTGAAAATTCAATGCTAAATATCTCCCATACCGAAGGAATTATGTGAAAAATTTCTACAGATGGCTGACCGAAAGTCATATGTGGAGATTTCAAATATGCCCTTGGATTTGACCTTTGACCTTTATTTCAAGTCAAACGGGCCAAAATTTCAAAAATGGGAATTTTTTGCAAAATAAATTATTATTTTATGCCGATTTTCAGAAACTTCACAGATCTAACTTATAATATTATGGACAGGTGTTACCCTTAGGGTCTTCTTTCATTTTCGTGAGTTTGGGGTCAATCGGTGCATTTTCACGGGAGTAGCGGCCATTAGATGCCAAAACTGAAAACTCTCTCAAATTCTGGAACTGTTAATGCCAGAGACCTCTTGTTTTTTGCATTTTGTAGAGCTTGTCAAGCGCAACACTGAAGGTGGTGTCGGTTTTTTTGTTTTCGATATGGTTTAGGCATTGTACTATATCGACAGTTCAACATCCAATATTTAGTGGTGAAAATAAAATGTGAAATACTACAAAATTAGCAGAGATACGCCCATAGTTACTATTGAACTTGAATAGGAAGTCATATACTTGTAATCCAACTGACCTTGAAATTTACCTTTGACCTACTTTTCATGATGAACTGCACTTTGCAAGTTTTCTGATTTTTATATCTCGAAAACTGGCAAAGATATGCCCATAGTTACTGTTGAACTTCAATAGGAAGTCATATACTGGCAATCTAACTGTGACCTTGAAATTGACCTCTGACCTACTTTACACCACGAACTGAACTTTGCAAATTTTGGTTCCCTTTTCTCTCTAAAAATGGCAGAGATATGTCCATAGTTACTATTGAAGTTGAAAAGGAAGTCACATACTGGCAATCTAACTGTGACCTTGAAATTGACCTCTGACCTACTTTACACCATGAACTGAAATTGCAAATTTTGGTTCCCTTTTCTCTCTAAAACAGGCAGAGATACAGGGGTATGTCCATAGTTACTATTGAAGTTGAATAGGAAGTCACATACTGGCAATTTACTGTGACCTTAAAATTGACATTTGACCTACTTTTTACCATGAACTCAACTTTGCAAATTTTTGTTCCCTTTTATCTCCATAGTTTAGGTCCATAGTTACTATTGAACTTGAATAGGAAGTCATATACTGGCAATTTATCTGTGACCTTGAAATTGACCTTTGACTTACTTTACACCATAAACTGAACTTTGCAACTTCTTTAATGCTTATACTTTCAAAACTGGCAAAGATATGCCCATAGTTACTATTGAACTTGAATAGGAAGTCATATACTGGTAATTTACTGTGACCTTAAAATTAACCTTTGACCTACTTTTTACCATAAACTGAACTTTGCAAATTTTCATTCCCTTTTATCTCCAAAACTGGCAGAGAAAGGTCCATAGTTACTATTGAACTTGAATAGGAAGTAATACACTGGCAATCTAACTGTGACCTTGAAATTGACTTTTGACCTAATTTTTATGATGAACTGCTTATTGCATGTTTTCTGGCCTTTAAATCTGCAAAACTTTAAAATAAATGCCCAGGATTTCTATTGAACTTGAATAGAAATTCATATACTATGATGTTGAAATTGACTTTGACCTACTTTTTCACCATGAACTGAGCTTTGCATATTTTTTTGCTCCTTATATCTTCAAAACTAGCAGAGATGTGCCCGGTGTTGCCCCTAGGTTTTCTCTTTTGTCAGTATATGTGCACCACTGACAACACATTTTAAGGAAAACCAATAGGCCTTTTGTCTAGAGAATCACAGGAGTGATCAATGGTAGGAAAATGCTGGTCAGTTCGAAAATCTGTTTGATTGTACCATTTTTATTAATATTTTTTGGCATATTTTGAGAACTCTTGTTGATTGCATTTTATAGACCTTGTCAAGCACAAGACTGGTGATGGTGTCCCTTTTTTTTTGGGGGGGGGGTCCATACGAATGCGCTTACTCCAGCTGGTGGTACAATATCCGGAGGCGGTATCGCCTCTCTGATCCTCTAGTTTTAAGTTTGATTTTTTTTTTTACATGAAGTCATGGCAAACCATCAGATGCATATTAGCAATTTTTTGAAAGTACAAATAACTGTGAATATGAGGAAGCTGCCAAGTTTGACTTTGCCCAGGACCACTGCCAGTTTAGAAATGATGGGAACAAACCACAGTTTTTGCCGGGGGGAAAGGCTCCCTCTGGGGAAATTTTTATTTAGGTACACAGTGGTTTTATGGTAAAGGTCCACTTTTTTTGAGGAAAAAAAATTTTTTGAAATTGCTGGCTACAGGTCTGTTGAATGTTTATAATGAATGTTTCTCTATTTTTTCAGCTCACACAAACATTTTACGTGTACAGTGTCATGTGTCTCTGTAGTGGCCTGCTTGATGTGGTCAGTTTGGGATGATGTTATATCTAATACATGGCTGTCGATTGGTCGCGTCTTGACCGAGGCCACCACCTGGTGGATGAGATGGTAATGGGAACAAGTATGAAAGAAGCACATGGTGAGTGAGATCCACGGCACCCTGTCATAACATTGGCGACGAGGATAAGCAAGAAATACTAACATGGCACAGGGAGAACTGCACTGGGTTTAACAAAGCACAAGTAGATTACCACCGAGAATAGAGGAATGGATGATGGACTTACAAGATGTTGACTATGAAGTGGTATATGAGCCAGGAAAGAATGATGCAGACTCTATTGATTGTCTCTCCAGACACCCACGGCCACAAACGGGTGGTGATAGTACAGAGAGGAGGATCAGAAAATGCAGTAGTTCTTGATGAGATAGCTTGGGAAACCCTCACTGACCCAACACTAATCAAACTTGGAGAGAGAATCTCAGCAGGAGATTGGAATCTATACAGTAAAGATGAGGACATTGAACCATACTGGCACATGAGAGAAGAATTTAGTATATTTGAAGGACTCATTTACAGAATCGCTGTCCTGAAAAAAAAAAGTAATCTGATATAATTTATGTTTAATCAGGATGAAGGCGGATCGCTGTCCTAAAAAAAAGTAATCTGAGCATAATTTATATATATTTAATCAGGATGAAGGGGGATCGCTGTCCTGAAAAAAAAAAGTAATCTGAGATAATTTCTATTTAATCAGGATGAAGGCGGATCGCTGTCCTAAAAAAAATAATCTGAGCATAATTTATATATATTTAATCAGGATGAAGGCGGATCGCTGTCCTGAAAAAAAAAAGTAATCTGAGATAATTTCTATGTAATCAGGATGAAGGTGGATTGCTGTCCTGAAAAAAAAGTAATCTGAGATAATTTCTATGTAATCAGGATGAAGGTGGATTGCTGTCCTGAAAAAAAAGTAATCTGAGATAATTTCTATGTAATCAGGATGAAGGTGGATTGCTTGACCGGGGCCACCACCTGGTGGATGACGTGGTAATGGGAATGAGTGTGAAAGAAGCACATGGCGAGTGAGATCCATGGCACTTGGTCATAACAGATGATATGTATTGGACCCAAGGTGGAGCAGTGGTCATAACCCACCGTCACCCATCACCATGCCAAAAATGCTTCCTTGCAGGTAGTGCACAAAATTATTGCTTGGTTTTGTTTTAGTAGTTGTGTTATAATAGTCTTTTATACTTCCCGTGTAGATCAACAAACCAGTTATCATACTTTGTGCTTCCTTTCAATTGAAATAAATTTCTTCACTTCTCTTATGTTACTCCTCACAAAATGTACTTTTACAAGGCACATTCAACTGATATGCTTATCCAAGATTATTACAGCCATTGTTTATGGGCAATTTGTGTGCAAATTTCTCTTGAAAATCCCAGAAGATTTGGCAGAGTTCTGTTTATTTTACTTTGATCAGTTTAAGATTGTGACAGTTGTACCAGTCACAATTGTGCCAAGCAGCCTCTAAAAGACATTTTAAACTTGTCTCTGTTCAGTCACCATAACTGTGATGTCTGTCATATTTAGTGGATATTAGGCAGAATATTGTAAGTTAAGTATTCTGCTGGCTCTTGTAGACTGTCAGGGTTCTGTCTTTTTTTTAAGATAATTTATGTCACTTCATATAATCTTTTGTCTCTTTTTTCCAGCTCCAGTCTCCATACAGCATGGTGTCTTCTAGGTGAACAGACTTACCTGGCTGGCCATGGGGGGATGTTCTATATGAAGCAGACACAAAAAGGCAGCAACAGGAACATCTACATCTCACCCAGTTGTGCAAGACACGTGATGAATGGACAGCCAGAGACAGGACAGCCATTGTAAACAGGTGACTGGACCTCTTGCTGATATATAGCAGACAAAATCTATGGTTGTTTTTTTATGCAAATAAAGATAGGTAATTTGTTTCCTCTCTTTCCTTTGTGTAAAGACACAAACACCAATTGTTACATTTTTGGGGGAAGGGGTAGGGGTAAAATAATTATTTCAATGTGGAAAGCATGGATTATTATGAATAAAGTTTAAGTGTCACTGCTTTAATTTTAATGTAAATTTAATTTTTATATTCATCAAGTGCTTTATTAATCACACCTGTCATTTGTTAAGAATTTGAACCAATTCATCTTGTATACACAAAACGCATATAAAATGAATAATTATATTTTATTTTGATCACCATTACATACGAGCAGTATCAAGATATAAATATCAAGTATGTTGATGCAAAAATGATTATGTGCATCTTACAAAAACACACACACACACACACACACACAGGGGCGGATCCAGAGATATATTCTGACAGTCTTCCAAATTATCTTTGTTGATCCATCTTCCATTTTTGACCGTCTTCTGACAGAAAACATTAGATGGCTGACAATGTTAACTTGAAAATCTGACCGTCTTCCAGAAGACCCAGAAGACGGCCTAAATCCGCCCCTGCACACACACACACACACACACACACACACACACACATGAATAATGTATCATTAGATGGTTCCTAATAATAATTTGCACTATATTATAGAAGTGATCCAGTTGCATTGCAAACAGTTACTTTCATTTCGTTTATGTTTTTAGCAAATACACTTCTGGAATTGTGTAAAGAACTGCTGGCAGACCAAGAGGTCAATTTCATATTGAGTGAGAGAGAATGCTGCCAGAACCACCAAGAACAAGACTCCCAAAGATGACATGCAGATCCTGTGGAGCCAGTTATATGGAACAGTACAATTGTACAACAAATGTGGGTTCCAGGTAACACAAAAAATCCATTTCCCCCAAATGCATGGAAACTATAGAGGCAGGGTATATAAAGCAAGGAGATTGTGTTAGACAATACTCTATCACTGAAGACAAATAGACACAATGGAAATGCTTGAAAGTGAATTGCTATTTCAGCTCAGTTGTGATGTGTTATGATAATTTCCCCATATACATGGACATTATTACAGTACTAGTAGAGGTAGCATGTATGCGAGATTGTGGTAGACAATAAGCTATCACTGAACAGAAAAAGACGTCATTGAAAATGTTTTAATGTGAATACATATATTTCAGTGCAGATATGATGTGCTATAAATAATCTCTGTTATTATGAGGTCATTAAGTTGCATAATGCAATTTTTATGACATTTATTATATACAGACACTTTCAGTCTGTCTATATTCTGATCACTGTGTCTGTCCAGTGTCATTGCCATAGTCAGAACTTTGTGACACATCTGTTGTTTACCCTATTACTGAAAAACTGTAGAAAATCATCATGATTGGATTATTTAATGATATTGCTTTGTTATCTTAAGCATTTTGGATATGATGCTGCAATATGTCCTGAGTATTTCAAATTGATGTAGCAATGTAGATATGTTTGTGTATTTTTGTCCGTCTTTGTTTCTGATTCTGATATTTGTTTTAATTACTAAATATGTTGTCATTTTGTGAATTTATGAAATTATTATAAGTTTATTGTTAAATGATTTGTCAAGTGCATGACAGAGTCAGAAGGTTCATTGGTCTGATAGTTTGAAGATGCAAAGATCCAATGGTTCAAAAGGTTTTATAATAGTCAGAAGGTTCATTGGTCTGATAGTTTGATGATGCCAAGATCCAATGGTTCAAAAGGTTTTATAATAGTCAGAAGGTTCATTGGTCTGATAGTTTGAAGATGTAAATGTCCAGCTGTTCCAAAGGTGTGCTAGTCAGAAGGTTCACTTGCATGAGGTTTCATTGGTTCAGAGGTTGTAAAGTCCCAAATTATGAATGGTATATAGTGTAATGTAGCAATGATAATATCTGTGGAGGGCGATAATATATTTAATGACTTTTCATGACTCTATACTGCCCCAGCTTTGGGCAGGTTTTACTTAATCTGTAATTTTCATTGTTTTTGAGCACACATATTTAGTTTTATGGGCTAATTGTCTGCTGCTGTAATGATAAAGACTGATTTCAACACACACAAGCTAAAAACAGTAATTCCTTTCAGTGAAGTATTTTATTTGCCTGAGTTACGTGACATACTTAATGAAAACTAAACAAAACAAAACAAATCAAAACCTTCAAACAACTGTGAAGTTCTTGACAAGATATCTTTATCTGTCAGTGTATTGCATGCCATTATCTTTAAGGCCCCATCCAAACAATTTCGACGTAAGTTAATTATATTCTCAGCAACATTTTTTCCCCCTTGGGCCATTATCTCCTCTCATCTTTATGCCCCCACACCGTGTACTTCCCGTATCTAAATTTCCCCAACCAATATTTCGCCGCACGTCAAGATTCACTTCGGTTAAAATTTGGTAATTGTGAAATTATATAATAGGCCCTATTAGTTAAATTTTATGCCCCTATTAATTTTTTACCCAAGGACCAAAATAAACCCGCAGAACCCAAAAATAGAGGGAAAACAAATACTGAAATAATGCTGATGCATAACGTAATTAGAAAACCAAAATTAAGGAATTAAAACACGTCAAATCCTGGCCTTTTATTAATTTCAAACAAGAACGTTGTATCTTGCAAAAATAAATGTGATTTGCCTAAACTTCTTTATAGAGCGATATTTACACAAGTAATGCTTTGGGAGTCATATCTTGTCTATATTACTATACATTTTCTTCAAATCTGCCTTGTGCATAACTATTACGCCTGGGTATAAGTATGATCATAAATATTGTCTTTTACAAAAAGTCCTTACAAGAATTGTTGCAATCCGTGATGTCTTATGGGGAAAAAACCCATGAACTCCTCTCCATCGCTGTCGCTGTCTAGCATGGGTACGTTGCTCTCCGGCACTGAAATACCACTGTCTCCCCTTAATGACCCCAAGATGCCAGTAACAGAGAGAGACTTCTGGATCATGGTTGTGGGGACATTGTCCCAGGCAGCCTTGATCCAGTCAACTATCTCTTGTTTACTGGCAGTCTTCAGCTGGTCGATGTGTCCTTTCGTAGCTGGGACATCGCCACGCATCCTCTCAGACCACAGTCTCCTAAGAAGGCCTTTGAACGGCTTGTTCAAAGACACATCTAGGGACTGGGCCTTTGAGGTGCATCCTCCTGGGATAATTGCTGGCTTTGCTGCTACTTGCTGCAGTGCACGTGCCACCCTCTCAGTGGGAGAGAAAGCATCCATAAGGATTTCAAGATTTTGGCCACCCATTCCAGCATGAGGTCTTCCGTCATCCAGGCTGTAGGGTTGGCCGTTATCAACTAACCCTCTGGCCCCTCCACCACTGGATTTCTCTTGCCTGAAATAATGAAAGAACGATTTGAATAGTGATATTTATAGCTTAACTTCGTTACTGGCAGAAATGCACATTCACTTTCAGGCTGAAAGAAAATTGCAAAAAGATGTGAACTTTTTTTAATGCAGGTAAAGTGTAACTTAGAAACATGTAGATATTTATAACAGTCACTAATTGCTGGTGGAAGTAAATTAGCTGTAGATTTAAACAAGAACCTTGCACAATTGTGCTCGCAAATCATATAACTATATATCTAATTGTTGTAA